AGTGAGCCACAACTACTGAGCCTGCGCGTCTGGAGCCTGTGCTCCGCAACAAGAGAGGCCACGATAGTGAGAGGCCCGCGCACCGCAATGAAGAGTGGCCCCCGCTCGCCACAACTAGAGAAAGCCCTCGCACAGAAACGAAGACCCAACACAGCCAAAAATAAATAAATACATAAATAAAAGGGCTAGGTGAAGGCTTAGTAGAATGTTATCTCTGAGGCTTTTGCAACTGAGAAACCGTGCAAGATTTCAGAAAACTCAGAACTGTAGTCTGATGTCAGCACAAGCACTTTTGTTTGAGTAAACTTTCTTGACTAAGAGCGTGTTGCTGTTACTTCCCGTGATCACATCTGCCCATGGCTGCGGGGTGTCACGGCCACATCAGGAATTCATGAGACACTCTTGTTAAATCAGCCCCAGTGTTAATAAGGAAGACGAGATTTACATACCCAAAATCTGGCAAAAAAACCCACTTTGGAACGTCCACTCAGAATGACAGTTTTTAGCAATGCATTTAACTTTTGGTGGTGTGCATTATAATAACTAAGTCATAAATGGGAAAAAGTAAAAACAAAGAAGGCTATTAAAATACAACTGACGACAGTTTAACCTGTATGAAGTGGGGAGCTGTGTATGGAAACAGTGCTACTTCAGAGCCGAACTCCACAGAACAATGCATCACTAAGGTAACAGGCTGAATGGACCTTGACCTTGAAGGCAACTTCTCTGAGTCCAGGACTGATGAAGCTACTCATTTTAGAGTGGATGCCTTTGTCTTGCACGGGTGTAATTTTACAGGGTGAAGAAGAGCGTGAACAATGTGAACAGACCTAACGCTCCGAACTGCACACTTAGAAATGGCTGAGATGATAAATGTTAGGGTCTGTGGCTTTTTTTTAACCATATTACCTCCCGTATCTCATGACCCCGGGCACAGGGAAAGACAGCTTTATTATCTGTGATACAGTGAGGACGCAGTACCAGGGTTAGAATGAGAGTCTAATTAATTAATACGTGCAGAAAGCACCCAGAACAGTGCTTGGCCCATGGTGGCAGCTTTCACTACTATAACAACACGCTGTTTCCCGAGACTGCGGTGCTTTTCCCCGGTCTGCCGTTATTTTCTGGAAAATGCTGCCCTTCTACCGATTCCTCAAGTGTGTCTTCCTTGAAGGCCCCCTCCCCCCATGCCCCCCCTCCTGGTGCCTCCCCCGTATCAACATCCACAACAGCGGTGCCGGTCACAGGGGGCTTCACGTACAAGCAGTGGAACTCCCACGGCAGCCATGAGCCATCACCACCCATCTCCCAGAGGGAGAAACGGAGGCACAGAGGGTTAGGGCACTTGCCCAGGAGGCTGGGAGCTGGTCCAGCCGTCTGCGCATGTCCTCACCCTCTGCACTGCACTGCATCCCTCGCAGGCTTCTGCTCACCCCAGCAAAGGAGTGATCGGGGCGTTCTGAACACGGCCCTTCTCCTCCACCGGGCAGCAGGCTCCCCAAGGCTGAGCTGCGTGTCACCCGGGCCCTGGGTCCCGCAGAGGGACGGGGCCTGGGACAGAGCGGATGCGCAGGCCTGACGGGTCACTGCAGACTCGGCCAAGTGACAGGCCCTGGAGCGCGCCTCTCCTACCCCCGAGCCCTGGGCTCACAAGCGCACACTCCACGAGCAGCCCCGCGGCGCGTCAGGTCCCCGCGCCAGGCCTGAGCACAAAGCTCGAAGGAAGCAGCTAAGGGGGCAATGGAGAGAAAGACAAGGGCTCTGCCCTCAGCTCAAACTTAAAAGGCGGCAAAATCCTAGAGTGTGTTACTCTCTTTTCTGTCCGACTTCCTTCCTATCCGGCCCGCCCTCTAGGGCAGTGGTCCTCAGCCAGGGGCTCTCCTCTCCCGCTGGGGACATTCAGCATTGTCTGGAGACATTTTTCACCATCACAACTTTGCAAGAGGGGTTTTCACTGGCAGCTGGTGAACAGAAGCCAGTGATGCTGCTAAACATTCGACCAGGCATGGGGCAGTCCTCTTCCCCCCTAACCCAACAAAGAATCTTCTGGCCCAAATGTCAACAGTGCCGAGTTAAGGAGCCCCACTGGAGGAGCAGCTGCGGACCTATGTGGCTTTAAAGAGCAGAACGAGGCTCTGGCGGGGGGAGGGGAGGACGGGGGCTGCTTTACAGGTAGAGTCTGTGGGCCAGTCCCCCGTTCCCTGCAGCCCAGTGACAACTGGGAATCGCCGGGCCGGATGGCGGATAGCAACAGAAGAGGCTCCCGTCTTTCCTATTCTGTCCCACATGGTCTCTGTACGGTACTGACCCAGCTGCGCCCAGAGAGGATTGTATGGGTGTGTCTTGGCCAGCGTGTTGACCAGCTGAGAGGTGCGTTTCTCGGAGAAGGCTTTGATGGGAGGGTGGTCAACGGGCATGACGGTGGGCACCCAGGCCAGGTGGTAGGTTAAGACCGCGGTCAGCAAGGCAGCAAAAAACCTTGGAGAAACGGGAGAAAACACAACGGGGTGAGTCAATGCAGGAAGAGGCATGTCACCTACAGCACGTACACCAGCCTCGGAACTGGCATTCAAGGCTCCAGAGCGCCGCCGCTTACTGGTTCTTGTTGATCTGTTCTATCAGGAGTGTAAATTCCTTGAGGAAGCGCTGGCACAGCTGCGTCTTCTCCAAGGTGCTGGACATCATGGCCAGCCACACGGGCTCGGCTATCCTTGGGACGGAGTACAAGCTCCAGATGGTCCCTCTACGGAAGAGAAGGTACAGGGAACTGTCACAGATGTCACAGTGGATGATCTCTGTGTAAAGGAATCTAGAAGAAAACACTCACCTGGGTCTAGGGAGCCCCTAAGGCATCCAAAGCAGAATATTAAACAGGGGTCGGTAAACTAGGACACGATGCACAGGCCAAATCTGACCTTTTTTTTTATAAATAAAGTTTTATTGGCACACAGCCATGCTCAATCATCTCCCTATTATCTGTCGCTGCGTTTGCACCACAGCAAAGCTGAGCAGCCGTGGGGCACAGACCCTTTACAGGAAAGGTATACTAACCACTGATATAAAATAGTCATCCTTAAAAAGACTTATTTGCACGATGCCTTGTGTCAGAATTTATGCCAGTTTTCATAGGAAAAAAATAAAGGAAGAAAGAATAAACATGCTAGACTGAAAATGTGACCAGAGGGAACTCAAGTCACCCAATTTCTGGTTAGTGCTTTTGTTCTTTGAACCAAAGCACCCTATTCACTTTAAATGAAAAAAGAACACAAATAAATGGCTCTTCTTCACCATATTATATACTAGATTGTTACATGGGCTAACAGAATCAAATTCTTAGAACTGTAAGCTGTTAGGGAAAGTGACGAGTCTGGCCGTGTCACTTTACGGCTTAGGAAACTGCAGGTGTAAAGGAGTTCCTTGCGGGAGACACACACGCACTGAATGACAAGGTCTGGATGAGAGCGCCTCGTGCCGGGGACTCTGCTCCAGGCCGCGTGGCTCGTGGCAGTCCTTCCAGGGAGCGCACCAACGAGCCTAGGATCTCCACTGGCACCTCTGCGTCTAGGAGACACCCCGCTTCCCGGATGGGGGTACACGAGGCATATTCTGACCTGAGTTTCCGGCCGTGTGCATCAAGGAGCTGGGACACACAGGATCCTGCCCTGGCACGAGGCAGAGCACCTGCTGAGCAGCCAGCAGTGACAAGTGACAGCTACGTGGACCTGGGCTTCGCTTACTGACACCAAGGTTTCCAACGCTAACACGTGATCCTGTCGCTGTTTCTGGAGCAGCAGGTCGCTGAGGTTAAGGATGAGACCCGTCTATCCACAGTGAGGCCTCAGGTCCTGTCCGTTCAGATTCCGGACCTTCTACTAAATGAGTGTCCAGACCCTCCAGCACAAGCCAGCTTCGAGCCTGACCACAGCCCGCCCGGCGCTGCCCACACAAACCATAGAAGGTTCGCTAGTCACCCCACTGCCATCGAAACACACAGCTTCACACTATTTCTCAAATGTGGGACGTGGGTCTGGATGATCCCCAGATAAGGACTAACGTGCTACTTGAGTACTTTACACACAACCCAGGGTTCAACTAAGGCTGGGTGGGGATTTTGCTCCAAGCAGCATTAGAGTTCACCAGCCTCTGCCTTAAGCATCACAAAAACGTTCTAACATTGTAAGAATCGTAAACATTTTTATCCCTGGGCTAGAGAGGAACGGTTGGACTCTTAATTAGCTCGTGACGGCTCTGAAGTGCGATTCCATTCCACACCCAGAAACTGGCCCTAAGAAGCGCTGCAACAGCCCCGCTCAGCATGGTGACCATGGATCCCAGCTACAGCCCAGACACGAGGGGCAAGAGCTCCAGAAAACCGCTCTCCGGGGCACAAGCACCAACAGTTAGGAGATGACAGTGAGGGCACGCTAGGGTGGCCGTACAACTTAATGTCCCGACCAGGACACCGATGGGAAGACACCGGGTGCACACAGGGCTGTCCCGGCAAACTGGAGTGTAACCCCCCTGACGTGCATACTCTCCCCACTCAGGCTGTGGACAAGCATCTCAACCTCCAGTTTCCACATCTGTAAAATGGGCTAAGAGTGCTTACTCTTAGGGCTTTTGGGAGATGACACGAGACGTACGAATATTAGTTTTCTCCATTCACTCTGTTAGGAACAGTCACATCAGGGACCGTCTCTCTGGCAGTCGTGAGGATTACTCAGTGCTGGTGGCTTACGCTTTTTGCTCCACTGGGCCTTAGCTTCAAAGGAAGGAGCTGCCAAAATGACTAGTAACTGCTAGCCCCCCACACTCCCGAGCTGTGGTCTCCACGCATCCCGAGATCCACGGCCGCTGCTACCGCTGCTCACCAATTTCCCCTGCTGGGGTTGCCAAACCTTGCCAGTTTACCTGAACTCCCCCAGAGCTTCCATCAGACGGCTGACATAAAACTGGACACGGAGACTTGACTCCGCGATCTTCCTGCACGAGATCATGGCCTTCGGTGGAAAGAAAACAAGCCACATTACGTGGAGAAGAAATTCCTTCGTAACCATCTACTGGGCTTTATTAATAAGACACGATGTTAGAGCCCACACTCAAGCTAGTCATGACCGAAGTCGTTGGGGGCAGTAATTCCCTTTCCCAAAGCAATCAGGATCTGGTACCTGACTTCAGTGTGCCTAGGGAACGTCCTACCACTGCTGCAGCCGATCTACATGCCCTGGGAAAGCGAGCGGGTACAGAGAGCCCTTGACCCTTACAGCCCCGTGTGACAATGGATTGCATTCTCAGTACCTTTTCAATTGCACTCTTCAGCCTGTTCATGTGAGACTCAAACAGGGGGAAATGAGAAAAAAAGAAGTCCTGGAAGTTCCTCTGGGCTTCCTCCGTCTCGCACAGGGAAAAGATGAGGCTTATGGCAATCTTCTTCCTCCGAGCTATGGCCGGGTTGGAACTGCAGGTTTCTTCGGCCAAGCTGAACGTCTCATCCGTTGACCTGGAAGGAGAAGGGGCTTTGGGAGTCATGCTGCATCAGTGAACCACACCGAGGACGAACCGTAAAGCCAGGGCGACACCCTGGTGGCCGATCCGGGCATGCGGTCCTAACTCAACGTGTGTCTACCGCCAGGTTGTCCTCCTGCATCAGACTCCGTCGTGAAAATGAAAACCTCCGCCTGACATTCAGTGTTAGCCTAACGCAAAAAGAAACTTAAGTGAGAACTGAAAGTAATTTCAAACGTCCTCTTGTTAGACTCTTAGCCCTTTTCCCTTGGACTATGTTACATCAGATTGGCCGCATTTAGGAAGGGGTGTGAAGCATCCGTTAGCTGATAGATACCAATGGATAAGAACATCTGAGGAGACATGGTCCTCTGTGGTATTCTGTGTGACCCAGGCATCACGTTTGGACATTTACTAGTAGCTGAGGCTTACTTTCCCAAGGTTATTAAAACCATTAGATGAAGTTACTCCTGTAAATGCTGAGATTAAGCCATGCGACTGGGGATACTCTCTGGGAAACCCCCCGAGCAGAAAGACCCACCTCGCTTTTGCTACAGTCAGATCCTCGACCAACTTAAGATTCTTTGCAGAGACTCTGCTTCTAGGATAAAAGAAGCCAATAAACTCTGAATATGTATTCAATTTGTCGTAAGGGGTAAGCCTCACAAATATGGCCAATCCGTATCTCTACTTTAACTAGTCTGAAAAACCAGCATGTGACCACATAGCTGCTAACGGCAAGAGTGAAAAAAAGTTTTTTAATTAGTTTGTTTTTTTCTACAAAGACACCAAAGCAAAGGACATCACACTGCAAATGAAAGCGCCTAGCCTGGCACATGGTAGGCGTGCAGGGAGCCTTCTCTTTCTCATGGGCTCCACCATTCAGCCTTGTCTGTCACCAAGCTTGGGACACCACCTCCTTTACTACAAACTACACCCAAACGGTCACGTCTGCTCATGGGACTTGAGGCAGCCATCCTCCTTCTTGGTCTTTTTTTTTTTTTTTTTAAACGATACGCAGGCCTCTCACTGCTGTGGCCTCTCCCGTTGTGGAGCACAGGCTCCGGACGCGCAGGCTCAGCGGCCATGGCTCACGGGCCCAGCCGCTCCACAGCATGTGGGATCTTCCCGGACCGGGGCACGAACCCGTGTCCCCTGTATCGGCAGGCGGACTCTCAACCACTGCGCCACCAGGGAAGCCCCCTTCTTGGTCTTTAACTTGTTCTGTAGTGCCCTGCTCACAGCCTGTAATGTTCCCGTGATTTCCAACATACCCACGTCTTAAAAACATAACACACATCAGAAGTTTTATGGTCAGGAAAGCTATCTTAAAGGAAAGGAGAAGACATCTTGCCCTAACCTCAGAGGGATATGTCATTGTTTTGCTCCACTTTAAGCAAGATGCCGGAGACTTAGGTGTGGCTGGTAAATCAGTAAAAGTCCTCGCCGACAGACATGGCGCAGGAAGGACGTGGTTTCCAGATGCTCTTGTGAACGCTGCCCGTTAAAATAAACCAGCAATTGCTTTCTCTGAGAAATCCCTAGATCCTAACCATGTGCTCGTCAGGAAGAAATTCTCGAGGCGCTCTTACCACTTTACTTAACTGCAAACCATGCTCCCTCTTCTTTTCCAGAGTGCTCGTCCTATAACTCTGTTTTTCCGCACCAGTTTACACCTATTCTGTAGAGGAAATTCTGAGCTTCTGCTACACCAGTTCTTTCTTACAACCCTTTCTTCTTCGTTATCTCCTACATCCCCCCTTTTGCAGAAGTAAAATGACTCCATTAGTCCACTCATCTTTGGCCAGCGTGGTCCTTGGTGATCAGACCGCAGCGACCACTGAGCCCTCTGCAGATGTGTGTCAGCTTCAGCTCCACCCCAGAAACAGCAGCCAAGTGCACCTAGCACAGCAGACGGTGCCGTCTGCCGAACTTCTGAGAAACACCCGCGGCTTTAACGGCGTGCGTGCCTCTTACTCGCTTCCCTATGTCTCTTCTGAATTCTAAAGCAACTGAGCTTCATTCAACCTGTCGTCTTGGATCAACCACGCAAACTGGGATAAATCAGGTCATGCGGTATTTGTAAATATACTTTTAAGATCAATCTACAATGAAAGCATGTTTCAGAACGTCTTAAAAAATTTAAGTCTGCACACAACTACTTCATCCTAGCTTTACCCTCAAGGCAACAGGTAAGATACACAGACCATTCTGCAAATGTGAAAACTGGGGCAGAGTGACTAACCAACCTGCTTCAAAACAGAAAGCTTTTCAGTGACCACGCCGGAGTCACAGCCCAGGGGTTCTGTCTGCTAGCCCTGGCTCGTTGCTCGGACACTGGGAGTGACCAGGGGCTCTGGCGCCACGTCTGACCCACCCACTGCAGGGACGGGCTGGGAGCGGTCACACCAGCTGACAGGCCTTCAAGTCAAGGGAAGACCACGCTACACACTGGATTTTTCAAATAGAATTTTGTTGACACATGAATGAGCATTTACATACCTTGTAAATACTTCAAGATCCTAAATAAAGCAAAACCTGACTATTTAAATACATCTCAGTGACTTGTAATTGGCCTCAGGACTGCTCAGTCTGACTGGTTATGTCAGCTCTGAATGGAGGCGGAATCTACGGGTTATGTTGGTACATATGAAATCGCCATTTCTGCAGGTCAAGGAACATCTCATCAGCGACTCTTTCTGGTTATTCAGTTTACAATTCCGGGCCAAAGACTTTCTGGGACGTCATACCTGCTTCTTTAGGGTTTCACCAGCCGCACTAAGGGGGGAATCCGCAGCTTCTCTCCTCCACGGACAGCACCTCTGCGCCAGCGGGTAAACTGCCCCCCGCCGACTCCCCCCACCCGCCGGTCGCCGAAGCTCCCCACGTGGCACGGGGGTCAGCGAGCAACCAACCGTAAGACTGTGAAGATCCTCCCTGGCCGCCCTGCACTCTCTCAGGAACCAGGTCACTGAGTGCGGTGACTTCCTCTCAGAGCCGGAGGCGATCGCATCCCTGGTACCCAGTGTTCTCCGGTCCCGCGTCAGAAACTAATCCCCGCCCACACACCTGCCACAAGGGAGAGACGGGCGGCGACCCCGGTAATCGAAGGGTCTTCACGGGCACAGTGACCGAAGCTGAGCGCCCGCGGCTCTTCCGTCCTGGGCGTCAGGCAAGGGCGAGTCCAGGACCACCGGCGCACAGCCTGCGCCCCCCCACCCCCGCCTTGCGGGGCTGCTCTCAGGAGGGCCCAGGCTCCCGGTGACGTTCTCTGGGTGCTACCTTGATTCTTAACCGTGTCACCTTTAACTTGCGCTCTGGAAGTGAAGTCTGATGGGGTGATGACGCATGGGCGTGGGCAGGGCAGACGCCAGGCAGCCGAGCACACGGCGCGGGGTCGGAAGCTGGGTCGCTGGCCTGGGGTCAGGCACACACCCACAAGTCCAGAACCAAGGCGGTGCCACAAGGCCCCAAGGCTGGGACCTGGGCCCAGATAGGCGGCGGCGGCGGCAGACGGCACGGCCATGGGAGGGGGGAAGGGCTGGGGCAAGGCACGGACCGAGGGGGAGGCAGCCTGTCTGCCCATCATCAGAGCCCACCCCTGTGGAGTCTGCACAACACTTAGCTCTTCGTCCTGAGCCCCAGGGCAGTAAACTATCACAAAGGAAGAGCCTACGGTTCACAATACGATAAAGTACATCAGGGAGTTACTAGAATTCTTTAAAGAGTTTGTTAATATCTCGTTTTGAAAACTGCAGCAACACTGCAAAGCAAATATTCACAGGCACAGAAACAGAAATTGAATGTAGAGATTGCTGCATTGGATAGAAAATACCCACAACTTTCATATGAAGCTTCAGAAGAAGAAATTATTAGAAATGAAGCCCATTTTAAAATTAAATTTCTGTATAACTGACGATGTAGTGACACAGTGCGTAAACAGGCATTCTGAATTATATGCAGCCCATGAAGACACTTCCAGTTTCTTGTAAGACCTCTGTAAGTCACAGGAAATGGCAGAGGAAACATTAAAATAACGGTGCATAAAGATACATTTAAAATTCAATTCAGACTTACACAAAATGGATGTGTGTGAAGAACTGAATCTTTAGCAAAATGTTCCATAAGAATCGTCTGATCCAGATGTACTGAAATTTATGCTTTTTTCTTTTTTTTTAACATCTTTATTTCAGTCTAATTGCTTTACAATCCTGCTGTATAACAAAGTGAATCAGCTGTATGTATACATATATCCCCATACCCCCTCCCTCTTGCATCTCCCTCCCTATCCCACCCCTCTAGGTGGTCACAAATCACCGAGCTGATCTCCCTGTGCTATGCAGCTGCTTCCCACTAGCTATCTATTTTACATTTGGTAGTGTATATATGTCCATACCACTCTCTCACTTCGTCTCAGCTTACTCTTAACCCTCACTGTGTCCCCAAGTCCATTCTCTACATCTGCGTCTTTATTCCTGTCCTGCCCCTAGGTTCTTCAGAACTTTTTTTTTTTTTTTTAAGATTCCACATGTATGTGTTAGCATACGGTATTTGTTTTTCTCTTTCTGACTTACTTCACTCTGTATGACAGGCTTAGGTCCATCCACCTTGCTACAAATAACTCAACTTCGTTTCTTTTTATGGCTGAGTAATATTCCATTGTAAGTATGTGCCAACACCTTCTTTATCCATTCATCTGTCGATGGACACTTAGGATGCCTCCATGTCCTGGCTATTGTAAATAGTGCTGCAATGAACATTTTGGTACATGGCTCTTTTTGAATTATGGTTTTCTCAGGGTATATGCCCAGTAGTGGGATTCCTGGGTCATATGGTAGTTCTATTTTTAGTTTTTTGAGGAACCTCCATACTGTTCTCCATAGTGACTGTATCAATTTACATTCCCACCAACAGTGCAAGAGGGCTCCCTTTTCTCCACACCCTCTCCAGCATTTATTGTTTCTAGATTTTTTGATGATGGCCACGCTGACTGGT